GAGGGCTGATCCCCAAAAATGCCTTTTTCTGGGGAGGAAAGCGGGTCGAGGGCCATGGGATTCCTTTGCCTGGTTTCATTCAAAGGGACAGAGGGATGCCTAGGCAAAAGAAGCCAGAGAGTGTGCACTTTACAGGGAAGGCAACCTGTTCGATCCTTGGCCTGCTTTCTCGGAAATGGGAAATAAAGCCTTTCGCCTTCAAAGGGGAGACCTTTAGGCGAGGGATTGGATTCAAAACACTCTTCCCGGGAGGTATAAGGTTTTGTCCATTGCATTGTTTTCCTCTGATCTTACTTCTAGAGTCTTTTTCTCTGCTGATCCCAAACTGATCTATCTGAAATTCTGACCTCTTGATTTTCTTTTTCCTTTTTCCTTCTGTCAAACAAAAACTATAGGTATCTCTCAGATTTTCTGAGAGAGGTGTGATCCTTCTGGCTTTGGGGAAATGTTGTCATTGTTGTTGCTGTTGTTGTTGTTGTTGTTGTGTGCCTTCAAGTCCTTTCCGACTTATGGCGACCCTAAGGCGACCTTATTATCGAGTTTTCTTGGCAAGTTTTGTCCAGAGGAGGTTTGCCATTGCCATCCTCTGAGGCTGAGAGCGTGTGACTTGCCCAAGGTCACTCAGTGGGTTTCATGGCTCTTGGGGAAAATAAAAATTTGGGGAGGGGTGGAAACCCAAATGAAATAAAAGGATGCCATTGACGAAGTTAAGGTTTTTTGGGGGGGGCATGAACACCCCAACTTCCTTTGAGTTCCTGTTGATTTTCCCCCAAAAAATCAACTCCGAAGTAAATTCAAACTTGGAAATAAATTCAGTTAGAGTTTCTCCCACTAGAATTTTTTTCCACTGGGGAAACGTTTTTACTAATCCCGTTGATTTCAACGGTGGAATTCTTTCCCTTGAAATCCAACGGGATTTAATCGCGATTAATTCTTTCTCGATTTCAGCCAGGATTTTGATAGCAGAAATCACGATTTATCCTAGAAATCTTGTACATTTTTACAGGGACCACCCAAGGTTGCTTTTCACCTCTTCTTAGGATCTCTTTTGGGGAGCTAAAAGACCTATAGTAAATATACTCCTTTTTCTTCAAATGGGGATTTGAAGAAATAAGGCAGAGAAGAAAGAAGAAGATGATGATTTAGGTCCATAAAAATGGATCTCTTCTAGAAGAAAGAAGAAGAAGATAATGATGATGATGTTGATTTAGGTCCATAAAATGGAGTTCTTCTAGAAGAAAGAAGGTAATGATGATGATGATTTAGGACCTCTTCTAGAAGAAGAAGATTTAGATCCATAAAATAGACCTTTTTTAGAAGAAAGAAGATGATGATGATGATTTTGGTCCATGAAATGGACCTCTTCTAAAAGAAAGAAGAAGAAGAAGAAGAAGAAGAAGAAGAAGAAGAAGAAGAAGAAGAAGAAGAAGAAGATTTAGGTCCATGAAATGGGCCTTTTTTAGAAGAAAGAAGATGATGATAATGATGATGATGATGATGATGATGATAATGATTTAGGTCCATAAAATGAACTTCTTCTAAAAGAAAGAAGAAGAAGAAGA